CTTATTGAGGTAAAGAATTGTAGGCTACCTCCAACCGAGCCTTATTATATTCCTCATCATTCACTTTCCCCCGTGCTGATTACATAGTACGAAGCCGCAGAAAATAGGTCCGATGCAGTTTTAGAAAAGCCAACGTTCCAATTCCCCCCCCTCCCGAGGGACGACGATCCAAATATTCGATTAAGGTGCTACAATACATTTTATAGACCTATATATAAAGAAATATTTAAAACAAGTAGTTAAAAGAGATAAGACGAATCGTAACAACACTTCCTCGTTTACTGTACGTCCCACGTGTTAAATTGTAAGAATGTTCGACACACCTGTGTATTATGTATGAAACACAAAAAGTATCACGTGATTAAACAGTACACGGGGTCATTAGAGTAAACAGTCTTGCACGACTCTTTAGTGTTTTTCGTATACGGTTACGTCACAATTGCAATCGTTTCCATAATTAACCATAAAAGGTATCCATATGCTAAACTCGTTTCTAGTTTCTTACGTTTCGTAAGCTATAAAAATGGCTGTTTTTTGCATTGTAAAAAAAAAAGGAAAAGAAAAAAAAATAATATAATTTATTTAGAAAAAGACAGTGTAATTTTTATTCTTTTATTTGTTTTAATATTTAAAATGTCGCCTATAATAACTGTATAGGAGGAAGTAACTTATTGTCAGAAACTGTACACCTGTTTCGCTGTATTATGTGCTCGGCATACTAACAGATTTATTATTATAATTTAGCGATAATTTTATTTAAATTACTCGAATAACTTATTAAAATACGAAAATTATTTTCTTTATAAAACGTTTTGTAAACACAGATGTAAATATTGTTCCATAACAATAGGCCTATATGAATGTGAATATGGGAATTTTTATTAAGATTTTTTCTTCTTTTTTTTTAATAGAAAATCTTATCGAAAATGTATCTAAACTTATTCATGAAATTCTAAATTTATTTATTAAATTTTAATTAAAAATAAAGAGAAGATTGAAAACACTTTTATCATTTTCAACGGATTATGATGGAAGGATAATAATATAATAATACAATTTTATAGAGTGGTTAAATTAAATGGTAACAAAAACTCATTAAAATTGAAGGAACACTTTAAAAAACCGGAAAATATACTATTATTTTGAATTGACTGCTTCCATTGATAAATTATATTGCGATGACAGATTATATAGAATGGGTGGAGATAGTTTTTTTTTTATCTCTATACAACGTTTGAATTGTTTTTTTAATGTATATATTATTGTTCCAATTGTTATTACAATATATACATTGTTTAATAGTNGACCTAATTATATTGGCAATTTTGTAAAACTATAGTGTAAATATTTGCGCGAATTTAAAATACGGTATTTATTCATATGATTTTATGTAGTTCTCTGGTAAAAACAGACGAGGAAATTAAGAAACTATAAATTAATTACAATAAAATGACTTTAACACAGAATTACTCGGTGTAATATAATGCATAATAATGAAATTGATATTTGCGCGAATTTAAAATGCCGCGAAAGTAATTTCCGTCGGGAAATCTTATCCATAGTATTTTAACGAGGAAATTATTTACCTGGAAAACAATTACGAACATTTTTATATTTCTCTAATAAATCACTTAATTTCTTATTTACATAATCACCATTGGTGCACATATTATATTTATTCAAATTTAGGAACGTAAAAATAAATTATATTCTTAAATACTTAAAAAATAAAATTCCCTTTAAACCGTTCCAACTCAACGCCATTACTTGTTTGTCAACAAACGAGGCAGACGTTGCCAGTTTCTTTCTCCAAGAAAATAATTCGTAGCCACAAAATTAATAACTCTGAAGAAAGGGATTCGTTTTGTAAACTATTTTTTATTTTATAAATAAATTTAAATAGAATTAATTAAATTCGATTTTTTATAAATAATGTACTTTTAATTAAGACATTGTACAATTAATATCTCGGTTTTCGAACTAATTCGTTCCTAAGTGTTCTAAAACCGAAAAAATTTTCCCTTAATTTAAATTTAACTGCGACGCGTATCAAAAAACGGAAGTAATGTCTTTGCCGGATGCTCATTGAAATCTGATTTAATTAAACAGCAATGTCGTCGTCGATTCGTGTGGCGACGTCTAATGACGCGAGGTAATCTCGGCGCCATAACTTCTGAATCAATAGTCCTCTCGTTGATTGATCGATCCGTCGACTTTCTTTAACGTGAGAAGTATAGGGAGTTGATCATCTACATCTCTGTAATCTATGGCTGGTTCTTGCAGAGTAGCTTGTTTGGCAACCGGGGCAATTATGAGTTCGAAATTCTGTTCGTGAACTGATTTGTTCGAAAACCGAGGTTTGAATGTATTTATTTTTCCACCGAAGACACGAGTGGATGAGTGTTCGGTTACGATCACTCGAAACTCGTTTGTCCTGGCCGAAAATACCCATTCAAAATTTCATTGTAGGCCGGCCGAATAGGCTAAAAAGATCCTCTTACTCGTTAGTCCCCACAGGGTGAAAAGAGTATTAAAAAAGAATCCTAATCACATGCATGTAAGAGTGGTTAAGGTAGCAGCTTACCGCTCTGGGGGACCCGGGGTCGAAAAAGCCCAAGAATTTTTCAGGTGGTGGATTGTCCGGATATGTCGAGTCCCATCTCATCACCGGCTCCATTGTGGGCCTGGCCGAATCCATAATGGCCATGCTAAAAGACACCCTTTTAGAGTCCACAAGTTGGAGAGTTAGTCTACAGTCGATTGGTTGTAACTTGAAAAGAACTCTATCCTCGTTGAACGAAGCAGAAAATCTATTTCAAGTTAGAATTCATCTTTTCCTAAACTTGAATTGGAGAAATTTGATCGTATAGACACGCAGTTAGTTCCGATAGTTTATTTAACTCATTCCGCTCTGTGGGCACTGAGAGGTCTTCCTTTAGGACGCCCATTATGGGTTCGGCCAGGTCCACAATGGAACGGTCGGTTGGTGAGGGCGGGGCCCGATATACTCGACAATCCCCAGTAACTTTTCGACCTTGGGTCCCCCAGAGTGGTAGGCTCTTATTCGGATACATTTTACACAGTTCGGTAAAGCAAAATTAAGAATATTTTTATATTCCGTATCCGAGCATTCACTTAAAAAAATAAAATAAAAAACTGTCATTTTATACTCCGAAGTTCGAGAATCTTTTTAAAAAGATCACAGAAACTATATCTGATTTATTTACTACATGTTGTGACACTCTCCAATCAAAGAATGAAAAAAAAAGGAATTAAGAATTTCAAATCAATTTAATATACTGCCAAATTCTAATTCGACAATAACGAATGCTAAGAAACTTATGTCCGGAATTCCTATTGCTAAGAACTTCCTTTAATTCTTCTGTTCGAAGTATCGATGGCCCACCAGTGGCCTAGTGGATAAAACCACTGAACACTGGTAAAGGTCGTGGATTCGCGCCTGGCTAATGGGCTGACCGTGTGGAGTTTACCGGGTTTTTTTCACGTTCGTAATACATAAATAGGATCCCCAGTTTCTCATAAAGACCTCCCAGGAGGCATTTCCCTACAGTAGATTGCCCATGTATTGCGTTGTCGTATGAGAATAGAACCGAATCGAAGTATGAACGTGAAGAAATTTCTAAGCTTCGGAAGCAGAAAAAACAACCGCTTTTAGAAGTGGAGGAAAAATATTTACGAAGAAAATCTAAAAGAGACGGAATCCAAAACTAGGAAGCACAATAGCCGAGCGGATAAGAGGAGTCAGACTACCGTTCTGGGGATCCACGAATGAATCCAGAGTCGAAAACCCCGGGAATTTTTTAGTGGTGGTCAGTCCTGTCCATCGCCATCCTGCTACCCCATTGTGGGCTTGATAAAAGGCCGTCATAGTGCCAAAGGGGCAGAAAAAAAATTTAAGTTAAAATTCAGTTATATAAATAAGACTAGTAAAAAACCTCTTGTCTTTTTTCTTCCAATATCCGTATTGAATCAGAGACCAAGACTTTAAAACACAGCTATTTTTATTCTTTCTTTCTAAGCAATGCATTTAAATAACTCCCCACCCCTCGACCTTTAACCACCAAAATTTAATAGCATCAATACACAAATCTCTGTGCAAAATTTCAGAAATTTTCGACAAAACGGAGTTATTAAGTAACGACAACTGCTAAAAATTTTCTGTTCAATCCAATTTCACCTTTACTTATTAAACTTGGCATCCGAAGTCTAATTAATAAGAGGAAGGCTTGAAAAAGGAACTTACCGCGAAGCATGAAAGCGATATACACGAAGTAGATCCGGCGGCCATGTTTAAGACGACGAAGTTAACAGTGTGTGCAATTTTCGTTCTATTATACAATATTTACGCATTTCATTTACTGTTTTCGTGTTTTAATTTATTATTAGGGCATTTAATCGTGTTATTTTTACCTTAAATTATATATATTTGCCGTTTTAAGTTTATCGAAATGGGTATTGTTTAGGATTTGTAAATGGATTAAGTCGCTTTCCATTATTTGCAATAGGAAAAAATTGCTTCGGACTTCGAACGATTCGGAGTTCGAAATCCAAACACGAGCTTTCCACCTATTGTTCTTCTCTTGTTGTATATCGAAAATTCCTTTAAAAAATAATTTTAAAAATGTTTTTACTTGTAGAAAACAAAGCCCAAAAATTAATTAACATCGATATATTTAAAAAAAAAAACGGTTAAAACCGGTTTGAAATAGCCGCGTTTTACCGGTATCATTGACTTCCGACGAAATAAATTATATCTTATTTAATTTAATTAACTTTTATACCACTAAGTATATTATATTTAAAACTTGTCTTAAAAATTATAAACATTTTAAATAATTTTATTATATTAAATCATCATTAAAAAAAAAAAAAAAATGTAAATTTAATAACGATAATATTAACTACGTTCGAAGCCGACAGGTGTCATCTCGGTGGCGGCGCATTCGCGAATAACTCGAAAGGTTTTATTTTTTTTTTTATTTCGCGACGAAAGCCGCCGCAGTGACGTCACGAAAATAGACCCACGCCTTTGTTGTCGGTCACGTGATCATAACCCGCAATCGTAGGTAAGAAGGAAGAGCTTACTGTTCGGTGGTCGAGCGTAAAAGATGGCAGTGGGAGAAATAAATTGCGAAGGTGGTTGAAACATCTGGATGTGAAAATCCATTGGATTAATTCACAATAATGTGTGATGATACAAGTGTCAAGGTTGTTGTAAGGTAAGTTCGTATTATTCTCGGTTCCTTATAACAACGCGGAGATAATTAATTAACGTCTAATCAAACAATCGCTTTTTTTTTAAATTGTTTTAAGTGCAATTTTTAAAATTTATTTTATATTTTTCATTTATTATTTAACTTATAATTATGCCATAAAAAAATTAATAATAAAAAATAAAAACTAGAGGATAAAATATTGACCGGTATCGCTTGGGAAATGACTGTAAATATTTTCCCCACTTAATTTACCTGTCATTTTATATATTTAAATATACTGTACGTATTTATAAATATTTTCTCCTGTTAAAAAACAATGTGGCGGTGTTTAAAATTACGGAATTGTGCGACAAAAATCACAGAAGTGCGCCCGTTGTAACGACTTTTTTCCCCCCTTTTCACAATTATAAATTAGTTTTTTGGGGGCGAAATTAATTAGAATTTCTCGTAAGAAAAGTATAATAATATACAGAAAAATCACGCGAAAAGTTATAATAAATTTCGGGAAATCATACCCGAACCAATATAGTCGACCCCCCTATAACACTGTTATTTAATTATTCCGTTTTATATGAATTCCATGTTGTACGAGTCACTTAAATTTTACAAATACGTGTGCCCGGCTGTGAACGGCTCACGTATTTATAAAATCTAAGTGACTCGTACAACATGGAATTCATATAAAACAGAAAAATCAACAGTATTATAGGGGGGTCGACTTGTATTTTCTTCCTATTCGCTATATTTTATGGGAATTTTTTCCATTGATTTGTATTGTTTACAGTATTTTACTCGTTAATTTTAGTATCTAAACATCGATAAAATCTTAAACAATTTATTATATTAATAGATAAATATTACGGAAGAATTTTTTTTTTCGACGATCGATAGACATTTTTCTTCTCTTTTTATATGGTTTATCGTCGCAGCGATATTGATTTACATTGAGAACGTTATATGCCTTTTCTCTCTTCTATCCAGACATTAAAAGTTTGATTTTTCTCCTTCTCCCCTTATATAAATAACCGTTATTTCATTAAATAATACCTTTAAATTTCGATGAATTAATAAATGAAGTAAACATTCCTACAGCTTATATAATATAATACGTAAACTCCCCTCCTCGTTTTATAATAATACCGAAGCGTGATGTATAATTGTTGATGCCGTCGTTGCTTGAATCGATGGTCAAGTACGTTTGAAATTTTGTTACCTTGAGAGTCGAGACGTGACAAAAGCAACAAATCTTCAAGGTAATCCACGTAAAAAACTAGTCTATTTTTCTATAAAAATGGCAATGTTAGAATCTCATTAAGGAATTATCCATTCTGGGCATACTTTACACATAGAGATGATATCACAGAACTCGTATATTTGAGTGAACATCGAAAAATATAGTTATGAAGTCATTAAATTATATGACAAAATACCTAGAAAAAAGAAATAACGTGCTTATTATTTAATAGACGAAAACACGTACTCGAATATATTTCAAAGGAAGAATAATAATAATATAATTATGTATAATTTTATAAACTATTAAACTCCCTTCCAGTAAAAAAAAAATATTATGTAATTATAATTATAATGGGTAACAGATTTATCATTAGTTTTAATGCTTCGAGACTATCATTAAGAGTTATTACGCTTGGTTATAATAATAATAATAATAATAATACATTTTTCTTAGAATTTGTTGGCTGTAAATAGACAAATGATGTCGTTTAAAATTTAAAAAAAAAAAAAAAACACAAAAAGGGGGTGAAATTAAAGAAAGATAACACCGTAGAACAGATTTCAAAACGAATCTTAAATGTCCCTGAGAAAATTTAATTGAATTTTTAATTTAAATAATTGAATAAATTTCTTCAAAAGTGCCGTGATGGAGAATAATTGAATATAACTTTGACCATGTTCTCTCTCAGAAAAGAATTATTATATATATATAAATACATTCTGTTATATTCTAAATGCCATCTTTTAAAACCATCGTCTAGCAAATAGAATAGGATCTATTTGCTTGTTAATATTGGAGACACTTTAATCAGGATATTCCAATTTCGACTTCGATAATTGAGTACTCTGTCTCGTTTTTCTTTTCTTTTTTATGCTTTAAAAATTGACATGGATAGAAAGCAGTATCCTCAGTACTGTACTGTACATATTGATCTGTATCGTAGCAACGACTAACAATGGATTGTCGCCTGAATGGCGAGAAATTATATGAAAGTGGCTAAACATTTAGTTAACGTCTTCCTTCTTTTCTTTTTTTTTTTTTTAAATACAATAGACTAGTTGCAATTTGAACATTGGATAATCAAGTGAAAGCCCAGTTCATTTCTGCTTTAATTAGTTATATCCCGGTGGAAGAGGATATTAAACTGACTACAATTATCGAATTAGTTCTTCAGTTTGGTCTATACCTGACTAGATATAGGCCTATTTATTCTCAATTTATTTATGTTTTTTTTTAAATAAATATTTAAATGTAACCTTCGTTTAGAGGGGTGTGGTAAAATTCTTTACAATATTTATTCGTTGGAAGAGTTCATTACGGTCACTGCTAAGGTGTGGTTGGTCGGAAGAGAAGGAATTCTCTTCGATTTTGTATAGAAATAAGGTACAGTACGTTATTGAATTTATAAGAGGTTCGCCGGCTACAATTTGTCATCCGCGGTTTATAGTGGATATGTGGTGACGTTTGGGAAATTATTCGAAGAATTGTGTGTTAAATGTAAATAGTTTTTTAAATAAAAATTACTTCCAATACTTCCAATAGAAATATCGAGGTTGTCTAGTCTTATATGTAATTTGATCCGAAATTGGCGCCCCGGGTTTCCTTATTGAGGTAAAGAATTGTAGGCTACCTCCAACCGAGCCTTATTATATTCCTCATCATTCACTTTCCCCCGTGCTGATTACATAGTACGAAGCCGCAGAAAATAGGTCCGATGCAGTTTTAGAAAAGCCAACGTTCCAATTCCCCCCCCTCCCGAGGGACGACGATCCAAATATTCGATTAAGGTGCTACAATACATTTTATAGACCTATATATAAAGAAATATTTAAAACAAGTAGTTAAAAGAGATAAGACGAATCGTAACAACACTTCCTCGTTTACTGTACGTCCCACGTGTTAAATTGTAAGAATGTTCGACACACCTGTGTATTATGTATGAAACACAAAAAGTATCACGTGATTAAACAGTACACGGGGTCATTAGAGTAAACAGTCTTGCACGACTCTTTAGTGTTTTTCGTATACGGTTACGTCACAATTGCAATCGTTTCCATAATTAACCATAAAAGGTATCCATATGCTAAACTCGTTTCTAGTTTCTTACGTTTCGTAAGCTATAAAAATGGCTGTTTTTTGCATTGTAAAAAAAAAAGGAAAAGAAAAAAAAATAATATAATTTATTTAGAAAAAGACAGTGTAATTTTTATTCTTTTATTTGTTTTAATATTTAAAATGTCGCCTATAATAACTGTATAGGAGGAAGTAACTTATTGTCAGAAACTGTACACCTGTTTCGCTGTATTATGTGCTCGGCATACTAACAGATTTATTATTATAATTTAGCGATAATTTTATTTAAATTACTCGAATAACTTATTAAAATACGAAAATTATTTTCTTTATAAAACGTTTTGTAAACACAGATGTAAATATTGTTCCATAACAATAGGCCTATATGAATGTGAATATGGGAATTTTTATTAAGATTTTTTCTTCTTTTTTTTTAATAGAAAATCTTATCGAAAATGTATCTAAACTTATTCATGAAATTCTAAATTTATTTATTAAATTTTAATTAAAAATAAAGAGAAGATTGAAAACACTTTTATCATTTTCAACGGATTATGATGGAAGGATAATAATATAATAATACAATTTTATAGAGTGGTTAAATTAAATGGTAACAAAAACTCATTAAAATTGAAGGAACACTTTAAAAAACCGGAAAATATACTATTATTTTGAATTGACTGCTTCCATTGATAAATTATATTGCGATGACAGATTATATAGAATGGGTGGAGATAGTTTTTTTTTTATCTCTATACAACGTTTGAATTGTTTTTTTAATGTATATATTATTGTTCCAATTGTTATTACAATATATACATTGTTTAATAGTATATAAAAGTTAATTAGGCTTATATATATATTTTTTTACAATTATTTTAATATATATATATAAGTTTCATTTTTATATTATCGTATGTATGGAAGAAAGTAAATATCAGTCGACCCCCCTATAACACTGTCGATAATTCCGTTTTATATGAATTTCATGTTGTACGAGTCACTTAGATTTTACAAATACGTGTGCCGGGTCGCGAATGGCTCACGTATTTGTAAAATCTAAGTGACTCGTACAACATGGAATTCATATAAAACGGAATTATCGACAGTGTTATAGGGGGGGTCGATTTGTAATATCTTGTAAATAGCCTAAAAATATAAGAAAATATGCACGTTGTATTATGTTTTTATTAACATTAACACTCTCCAAGACGGGCTTATAAATTTTTATTATTTTATAAATACTTAAACACAGAGAGGATAGAAAATTTATTTATTTATTTATTTATTTAAATCCATGCAAAGTCCTTGTCTATCACAAAATTACCCTTTCTGTCTTCTTATAAGTTTTTTGCTCTCGCTATTCAAGTCTACGCCTCTGTAGGCGTAAAGGCGTTTTACATCCACCTTTATTTTCATCCTGTGTCTTGCGTAGGGCGAAATTCGTGTTCTTCTTGTCAAACCCACAGTTTGAAAATATTTTATATGTGGTAAATATAATGCACCAACTCTGAAACAGATTTTTAATTTACGCATTGGGGGAAGTTAAACCAAATGTGTATAGAAACAATACGGATGTTTTATGCAAATCTATGTTCGTTTGCTTTGTTTTAAATGCCTCCTTTATGTTTCTTATAACTAAATTGTTATGACTATTGCTTACTAATTTGTGGTGTCCGAAAGAGATTTTGGC